TGAAAAACAGAAAAAACATACTAAACAGTTACTTTCACAGACACATGCAGGGACACTGAAGAAGGATCTCCTGATGCCCAGCGTCTGGCTCTGGGAGTGGGCTCAGGTCTCCATCCCTTCCAGCACTTTCTGAATCGCCAGTGGGGATGGTGACTGGGGACAACTCACCTGCAGAACAGCTCACAGGTCAGAGGGAGGAAATCCAACCTTCCAGACCCAAAAAAGCCCGAACTTGCCTTGAAGAGAAGTGGTTCTGCCACACGGCTCCTGGGAGAACCCCTTGCCCACGTGACGCGGTCAGGCCCACCCACTCCCCTGACAGGGCTGGGCATGTGTCCATGGAGGATGACAGCCATCCGGCAGAGCCCAGCCTTATCGGAAATCCTGCCCATGGGCCCACATAGGTGCCCAGGCCCTGCTGGGGTGGAGCTCTCTGAAAAAGAGCACCTCCCAGTACACAAAAACAGGAGAACGGAAGGATCCCACCAGAAGAGAACTGCAGGGAGGGTGGACACTGATTCCCGGCCCTCACAGGAAGACGACAGAGCGGACCGAGGGACACGACATCCGGGCTGATGGTGAGGAGGTGCAGGCTGCAGATCAGGTGCCCCCAGAAGCAGAGGCAGAAATCTTCCCGTGGAGGCACCGGCAACACGCTACCCACCAAGAGGCAAGGGACATCGCCACCTCCTGGTGGGGCACACGTGGTGCCTCCACGGCACCGGGCACACCTCCATTCCATGAGGACACCACAGCAAACGAGGCTCGCTCTACAGAGAACAGCCTTCTTCACAAGGGCCACCTCAGAAGACTTGGCAGCTGTGGAAAGACCCAGCCCAAGGCAGGCTGACCTGACCAGACCGGACTATCCTGACCGGAAGCAGGGACACGCCTACCTGCTTTGTGCAGACAGACACCGCAGGAATGGGGCTGTGCCTGCCCAGAGGAGGCCATCCCAGCAGACACACATCCATGCAAAGGCTGTGTGGAATCACCCGAGGGCACTTGGACCACGTGTGGCTGCTACAAACGGATAAAACTTCAGTAAGCACTGACTCTGGGCAAAGAGCATTTCGGTGTTCTTTTTTCCCCTTACTGTTGCAACACTTTGTAAACTCGGAGTTTTTCCAAATAAAAAATTGCAATAACACCCTTGACCCTATTCCAGTCTCTGCTATGCTCATGGAGGGCACCCTGTCCACCTATCCTACTGCTGACTGCCTCAAAGTATCCATCAAAAATGGAGCATTCCACGTGTCCACCCACACAACCCCAGGGTGTGGCAGGGGTCAAAGTGCCTGTGGCAATTAAAGCAAACTTGAACGAATCTGCTGACTCTCCTATCTTTGCCGAAACCAAGCAAATGCAGTGAATGCGAACAGAAATGGCAAAATTCCACTCCTGTGACAGGTTCTTCATGGACTGAGAGCTGGCATAGCACACCTGGCAAGCTTGGGAAGAGACCGAGGCCCGACAGGCTGCACAGCACAGGGATGAAGCCAGGACGTCCTGGCAGAGACCAGCAGGCCGCGTCCCCAGCAGGGGCTGGGGCCAAGCAGGGCACAAGCCAGGAGCACAGCCCGGCACTGTGGCAGACTTGGGACCTCCTAAAGGAGTCAGAGAGCTGCGTGGAGCCTGCCGCCCCAGTCACACTCATCCTGAAGCACCAGATTTTTCCCAGATTATTCGCTGTTTTATTCACTTCAGCTCTTTGATGGAAACAAATATGCTCGCCTGCTGTCCTGCACCCCACCTCATTGGAGTGCACGTGGAGCCTGGACCCATGTGGACATGCACAGTGAGACGCCTGCCCCAGCCCGAGTTAAAGTCCAAGGAAGGCAGTGTGGTCACAGGCGAGGAAAACACCTCCGAGTCCCCTCGCCTGGCCTGCCTGTGAGGGCGGAGATCAGGTGGGATGTGACGCCACCTGCCCTGCTTGTCCACATAACATGCGTTTCACAGCCCTGGCTCTACTTCTCGGTTTGGTGTTTAGCACTTCCTCCCGGAGGAGCTGCTGCTCCCCACACAGCCCAGACTTCCGTTGGGCGGGACCCAGGAGGGCTGCCCCTGGCCGGCCTCCAGCAGGACGCCCGCAGGAATGCAGTCGGCTGCCCTCCTTGCCCCAGTGCACAGCACGTGGCGGCTTTTACAACATGTAAAATTAACTGCCACTCACATGGAAAGAAAGACATACAAGACTCAAGCCCAAGCTTTTTACTGTCATATCCAACAAGCATGGACTCCCTCCCTCTATCCGGCAGCCACCAAGGGCTCACTCCGCCAGCCCCCCTCATCTGCTGTGCAGGCACCCACAGCAGAGCCCTCGAGGAAGCAGCCGTGAACCTGATGCCACAGCCTCATTGTGAGCTCAAGTAACACCCACCAGGTGGCATCTGCACGAACGGCGGGCACACAAACGGCTCAGGCGGCAGAGGGCCACGCCTGGTGCAGACCGACCCTGCTGACCTCTGACTCTGACCCAGAGCCCCTGGCTGTATGGACAAAGCTTCAGAAGACCCCCATCTTTACTCCAGAGCCTATTACTTAGAGAAATGAAAAGCAGTCTTTGGGGCTTAAAAATGCTAAGTTAAACAAACCTTCCTCCTACTAAGAACAGACAATAATCTTGAACTAGTTGGGTTTCAGGGATCGTTCCTGCTGTCAAACATAATTTTAAACCACTCAGATCACAGAAAGCACTTTAGTGCCTACCCCACAGTCAGCCTCCTCTCTGCAGGACACAGGTGCCCCCTCTTCTGAGATCCGACTGCTCAGTGGGTGGAGAGCACACCCCACACTTGCCTTAAAGCACTGTCATAGCACGTGCTCTGTCAGGTCCTGCTCTGAAGGCTGCGGAGAGCACCCCACTTTCCCTTGCACACAGCGCTCCCGGCCTTTCCCCAGCTTACATTCCAGAAAGGGTCAACCTGCAGCCAGGAGCAGCTGCCCCTCAGGCCCCACTTATAGGAGTAGTGGCTGCTGAGCCTCAGCCTCCCACCACCTGCCAACACCTCGCAGACCAGTCCAGCACTAGGTCCAGGGGCCGAGGGTGGCAGGGAGGCCTTCTGGGGGTGGTGAGGTGGCCCAGGACGCCGGGGCTCTGCGGACTCTGGACAGTCAGGCAGCACGGCCTGCAGCCACACACACCTACCTTGGTATGTCTTTCATCTCTACTCCAAACCGAAACAGCTGATTCCCAAATTACAAAAAGGAAAAAAACAAACCTTTAGAATGTGGTTGAGCTGTACCACCTTTGAAATACTTAGGCCCAAGAGATGGTTTTTTCTCCTCACTCAGGCTGGGCCATCTTAGACACACTTTCCAATCACACGTTTCATCCCCAAACAGTCCTGCAGCCCCAGGGACAGCCCATGTAAGGCTCCTTCCTCCAGGGCAGTGACCGCACAGTGCGGCACCCAGAAGGGAGCACTCCAGACTTCTGTCTTTTCAATTTGTTAGATCACATTTTTTTGTTTCATTTACTTCAATTTCAGTAAAGGTCACATTTTTAGGGTTTCTTAAACAGAAGTTCTTGATTCAAATCCTACATTTTCTGACTCAGATAAGAAACCAAGTGAAATTGTTTTTTAAAAGTCAGGGTCACTGAGCTGTAGAGAGACACCTTGGTTTTGACAGCGGTGTGCTGGATAAGTGGGACCTAAGGGCACTTTTTAACTCACTTTGTTTAAATTTACTGATTCTGTAGCAAATATGCACTGCCCCATAACAGGAGAAAGATTTCATTTTGGAAAAAAAGCTGTAGTTCTAATTCCTAACACAGAGTAAGTGCCTGCCCCTCGGGATGAAACGGGCAGCCCCCCAGCTAAGGGGCAGCCCCGCTGCTCCTACCACCTGACCAGCGAGCCGCACAGAACTCAGGACCCGTCAGAGCCAAACCACACTGTTAATTAACAAGTACTGACAAGCATACCTCATTTTATACCACAGACATGCAGGAAAACAATACAAAAAGCTAATATCCAATATGTTGAAGATTTTTATTCTTTAATAATAAAACATCCTACAAGCCTGTCATCCACCCAGTTGTAAGATAACCACAATTTCATTCACCACATGTCCAGATAGCAGCAGTCTCTCAAGAGCAGACGTCTGTTGGCGCCTCACTTCATCATCTCTGCAACGCCTCCCCCACACTGCCTAACGCCCCGGGCCCGCCACACAGCGCTGCTTCCTCGGGGCTCAAGGAATTGTGGGCAGCTATCTGCTCCCCACTCAGAGGCTCTGGTGTGGGGTGCCCTGACCTCGTATCCTCAACAAGAGGATTTCAAAAGATAACAGAGTGAAGACAGCAAGCCTGTAGCAAGAGGATCAGGCAAAGAGGAGGAAACAAGTCCAGGTGCCGGAGCAGCCACTGCAGACGCGGGCGGGCACCGGGACACACGCGAGAACAAGGCAGGGCCGGCCTGGAGCAGGGGCCAGCGGAGCCACTCTAGGGACAGCCCTACACTGACCAGATGATGCTCACACACGAAGGAAACCATCAGAAACCAGACAGGCTGTCACACAACAGGACAAAGGCCACCGCCTCCCTCCACAGGGGTCCCGTCAGCCCCACTCTGACCTCCACCCTGTGAAGCCACACTTCCCTTCCCAACAAATCATTTTAAGTAACCTACGAGGACCCCAGGCCTTGTTGGGCGAGCAGGGCTGGAGCAGCACTTTATTGTGTGGAAGATGGCCACAGTACTGGGGGCACATCGGGGCCCCAGGCCCTGGTGACAGCAATCTGGCTGCCGACACCCAGCTTACCTGGGCCCGTGTGCGGTTAAGGAAGCCACACACCCTTCCAAGTTTCAGACTCAAGCCTTTTGGATCATCCCAGCACTTGGCACATCCCGGCACATTCCGTGCCACCTGGTCCAAAGGAACAAATGAGGCCCATTCCAGGGGACCACTGAGTGCCATGTGACCAGAAAGCACGATGCCCCTCAGCACGGCCCTGCTGTGCCCCCAACCCCCACCGTGCTGGCAGCACTCACCTCTGAGGGGGAATGTAGGGCGCGCTCACAGGCGGCAGGGCCGCACAGGGCTCGTTTGGTGCCCTCTTAGCCTTTTTCGCCTTCTTCCTGACCTTGGACGTGGACCTGACCGTTTTCACGGAGCTCTCCTTTCGACAGACACCGTTTTTCATTTCAACATCCCCATAGATGTTCAGCGGCCTCCGCGTGCAGCCTGGGGGCGTGTGGACATCACAGTAAGCGGTCTTGCGGACAGAGAAGGTCGTGGCCCCGCCAGTCAGTTCTTTGACAGGCTCCATCTTCATGTAGAGGCCGGCCTTCTGGGCGCACGTCACGTGGAATGCCGTGTAGCAGTTGGCCTTGTGGCACTGGATGCAGGCGCCCACGCCCTTCTGCTTGCAGAGGTAGCATGTGAGTTTCCACCGGGCCGGAGGGATGTTCCTCACGCCATCGATGGGCTCGATGAACACTGTGTTGGCGAAGCCGACCTCCGGGATCCACAGGGCGCACACCACGTGGCCCCAGCGGTCATCGTCCGTCTTTTTGAAGGCACCTCCCTTGTTCGGGCACAGCACACAGTCGGCAGGCCGGGCCCGCGACTGCAGGCAGTGTCGGCAGAGCCACTGGCCCTCGGGAATGTAGGGCACCCCGTAGCACTCCTGGTGCACGGCCAGGTTGCACAGGTCGCAGAAGAGGATCGCATTGCTGTTCTGGCACTCACCATCCATGCAGACGCAGCACACGGCGTCCTCGTCGATCAGGGACTGCTGCTCCCCCTGCTTCTGGGTCTCGCAGTAGGACTCCTTCTCGAAACGGTCCATCAGGAACTCAAACACGCTCTGCGCCACAGCCGAGACACAGTCGGCCCTGCGCTTCTCGTTGACGATCTCCAGCCAGGCGTAGTCCTCCTCGTCCATGTCGTACTCCACCTCGTCGTCCAGCTCTTCAGCCGACTTCTCGATGAACTTGTAGTATGCAGGGGGTCTCCTGGGGGCGGCCGGCGGGCTGTACTCCACAAGGCGCACCCTGGGCTCGGGGAGCGTGCCGGCCAAGGCCAGCGGGCCGGGGGCACTGGGCAGGGCTTCGTTCTTCCTCCTGACTCTGTTGTTTCTGTGCCGCTTGGCCCGCAGGCCCGCGGGCGGCCGCTCCCGGTTCTCCTTGTTACTGTTGCACTCGCTCATCTCCTGAGCAGTGAGGTCATCTTCCAGGATGATCTCCAAGGGGTCAAAGATACTGATCCTGTGCAGGCGCCCCTCGATCTCGATCTCCACCATCCTCTGGGCCTGTGCGTAGGTCAGGGTCTCTCGAGCGGGTGAGTGCTTAGTACTGCACGGGGAGGAAGGGTGCCTCGCTGCTGCGCCTCGATGACATCGTCCTTTCCTCCTCATTTGGTACTGACTCCCTGCAACAGAGGCAGAGGTAAGCTGAGCCCCACACAGATGCAAGACGAGAGAACCCCCAAGCATGCCTGGGCACAGCCAGACAGTACACGCTGACTCCAGACAGAACCCCCAGCGAACAAATCACTCACCCCAGAACTCATCATCACGTTTCAATGACCTTCAACAGCTTCCACCAGGCCACCCCCCGACCCAGGGATTCCCAGGACGAGAGAGGCATGTGGTAAGGAGAGGCCCTCAGCAGGCACGCCCCTCGAGGACACAGAGCCCCACTGCTCACAGTCACCTTCTCAGACAAGCTGACAGGCCACCAGGGTGACTGCGACATCCCTCCTGGGTCAGGTCCCAGCCCTGAACCTCGGGGAGCCCATGCACCGGCTGGACGCCTGCAGGCACAGACCTCGTGACCGCGGGACAAGCGTGCTCAGGGGCTCTCCACTCCTGACCACCACTCCCCGAGCCGGCCCTTCCTCTCCTCTGCTGCCACCCAGGAGAGGGCCCTTGGAGCCCCAGAGCACTGCCATCCTGGTGGTGCCCCTGCTGGGCCAGAGGCCTCAGTGGCCTGGTGTGACCATAGTCTGTCCATCCTCTCCACTATCATGTCCTCCAGCCCCACCAGGACCCAAGAGGGGAGCCCCATACTGTCTGGAGCCAGTCTCCACCACCACCCCTGCTCCTCCCACAGGTGCCAACCCAGCTTCTGCAGGACCTCCACGGTGACCGCCAAGGAAACCCCTCACAGGCCACTCAGCCTGCTGCTTCCCTTCAGGGGCACCCCTCAGCTACTGCCTTCCCACCGCGATAGGTTGTGCCCTCATCCCTCCCCAGGGCACCATGACATGTGCAACGTGCTACAGACAGCGCCTCCGCTGTCACTCCACGGCGAGAGCCACCCCTGAGAACCCCACACTGTCTGCAGAGCCCCACTCTGGGGCTGCGACACTGGCTCCAGTGCCTGAGATCTCGGCCTCGGGAATGTGCCCCAGGCCTGTCACTGACGGGCTCCGCAGCAGTCTCCCTCGGCCGAAAGCCCCTGACTCTGCACCTCCACCCACCACGCAGAGTGCCAACTGTGGAACTGGTGACCTCTCGTGGACCTCCCAGACTTCCTCCTACAACTAACCGCATCTCGGGGACAAACAGCAAAACGTTTAAGAGATGGGCTTGCAAGCAAACACCCCAAGTTGGAGCACAAGCCACTGCCACCACGTAGCCCACCCGGGAAGGGAGGGCTGGCGCAGAGGCACCCTCGGGGGCCTGAATCTCAACCTCCCGGCCACCCAGCTGGTCTTGGGGAAAAGCCCTCAAAAGGCAGGCTTCCCTTTTAAGTCCCAAAAGGAAGCTCAGACCCTAAATGTGTTTTTTAAAACAGATCTTTCTTATTTTAATGGGTTTTCTTTTGTCAGTTTTATGTTGAAATTTGACAGGAATTCGCCGTGAAGAGGAGTGTGAAGGACACTCCTTCAGGCTCTCACTTGGCCCTGGGGGGTTCCTGGCGAGTGGAGAGCAGAGGCCCGATGCAGCTCGCGGGTCGGCTGCACGAGTCGTTGCTCGAAGTGGGGCAGAAGGAACAGCCGGTCACTCACCTCCCCGGGATAAAGACGCTCCACCGCAGCACCGAGCAGCTCTCTGACCGACCCTTGCAAACCTCAATCTCCTAACGCGCACGGAAGGGTCGTGGCCGCCTCCCTACCGCCCCGGGGCCGGGCCTGCCCGAACGGGCGCTTCCGTGCGGGACAAGCATTTCCACCCGCAGGAATCTGCACGGACCATCAGCAGGCCTGATAAGCTGCACGGGCCGCAAGAGGGGACGCTCCCACCCACCACGGCCCGCCGGCCCCTGGACCCGGGCCCTGCCGGCTCTCGGACACCCAAGGGGCGGCGCGCGGCGCAGGCTGCGAGGGGCGGTCAGCCCGGCGCTGGGGAGCGGCCAGGTGCGCGAACACCGCCCGCCCGTCCCGCCGCTGACCGGCAGCGCCAACTTTCCGGGGCGACGGGACCGTCTCCAGGGCGCGGCGGTTTCCTGGGCGTGTGCACGTGGGCCGAACTCCACTGCGCTGGCGCTGCCGCCCGGCAACTCGCACCTCCGCACGGTCACTTCCCCGCGGGCCGGGGCCGCCGTCCGCCCGCCCCGCCTCCCTGCCGGGGTCGCGGGCCCTCCCCTTCGGCCGCAGCCCCCGGGCGGGGCGGGGCACGCCCGGCCTCCGCGACGCCCCGGCCTCCCCGCCTCCCCAGCTTCCCCCCAGCCCGGCTCGCCCGCGGCTCGGCTCGGCCTCCTCCACAGGCCGGCCTCCTCCACAGGCCGGCCTCCCCGCCTCCACGGCCCGGCCTCCTCGCGCGACGCCCCGGCTTCCCGACAGCCCGGCCTCCCCGGCTCCCCGGCTCCCCGCAGCCGCCTCCCCGCCCGCCCGCCCGCCCGCGGACAAAGCGCCCGCCCGCCGCGGCCGCCAAACATGGCGTCGGCACAGCCACCCGAGAGGCCGGCGGCGACCCCGGCGGCTCCCGTTCACTCACCTTCGGGGCCGCGGCCGCGGAGCCCGGCGGCGGGCGCGGGGCCGGCGCGGCCGAGGCGGCGCTAATGGCGCCCGCGGCTCCCCCGCCAACGGCCGCGCAGGCCCGGCCCGCCGCCGCTCTGGGCGCGGGCTCCTGTCGGCGGCGGCCCGGCGCGGCTCGGCGGCCGCGGGCTCTCGGGGCGGGCGCGCGGGGCGGGCGCGGGGCCCGGCGGGGAGGCCCGGCCGGCGGCGGCGGCGGGGCGGGCGCGGGGCGCGGGGCTGGCTCGGACCCCCGGGCCGGCTCGCTCGCTCGCTCCCCAGCGAAGCAAACAATGCGGCGAGCGCTCCGCCCGGCGCGCTGCGTGCGAGACGCGCCCCGCCCTCCGCCGCCGTGACGCGAGCGCCGCCGCCGCCGGGGCGGGGCGGGGCCACCGGGGCGGGGCGGGGCGGGCCTGAGGAGGGGGCGGGGGCGCTGGAGGCGCCCGGGGCCGGGGAGCCCCCGACGGTGAGTGGAGGAGAGCCGGGCAGGGTGGGGGCCCGTCGGCCCCCGAGGGTCGCGGGCCCCGCCGGGGGCGCCCTCCGAGGGCCCGGGCCTGGCCGCCTCCCCTTGGGCCTGTTTAGACCCTGAACTCCGGGGGCTCAAGGCGGTTTTCATCCGGGGGCCAAGTCTCGAAGTGTCCTAAGAGCGGGGATACGCCTAGGAGGTGCCTCGGTTTCCGCCGAGGGTTCGTGGTCGGCGCCCGAGCCCGTGGGCGTCCAGCCCCGGGGAAGGAGCGGCCGTAGGGCCTCTCGGGAGGGGAAGGGGCCCAGGGCAGAGGCTGGGTCCCCCGGAGCTGCTGAGAGCGACCCCCGCGTGGGCAGGCCTAGCATCGGGGGCCTGGGCTCCCCCACCGTCGCCTTTGCCAGTGGGCTGAGCCTGTCACCGCGCGTCCCCGCCAGGGCCCGGAGCGCCCTGCACGCACGTCCGGGTTGAGAGGTGAAGCCTTGCTGGGCGGGTGAGGACTGCAGCCACGACCACCCACATGGAAGCTGGTGCCCCCTCGGCCAAGATGGGGCAGGCTGGGCACTGGGGCGCCAAGCCTGCCCGCAGCTAGTGTCTCCTGCACTCTACAGATGTCCGCCTCCTCATCCTCTCCTCACCCTGGGCGAGCCGGAGGCAAGCCACCAGCCGGAGGACCTCGCAGCACAGAGCAAAAGTCCAAGTCCCCTGCAAGAGACGGCGGAAGACAGGAAACACTTCTCCAGGGAGCGGGAGACATGTGGCCAGGAGTGACGACAGGCCTGCACACAGGCCTGTCAGAGTGATGTCTGGACATCCAAGGATAAAGAAACTAGCTCAAAACCTTCAGGGAGGAAAGGGCTTAACCAGACTGAACCTGTCAATTGGCCAAGGAGTGACTGTCAGGATTCTAAGAGAATTGAACCTAGAATTCCGTAACAGATTGGCAAATAAAGATGTCTTTACAGCCTATAAACATCAAAGTTTACCACACAGAGTCTCTAAAACATTCCTGGAAGATACACCCCAGCAAAACAAAGAGTGAATGCAAGCGGTAGACATGGATGCCAGTTTGGGCTATTCAAATGGAGTGACAGCCTTCAAGAAAACCCCGGAGGAAGTCGCCACGGCATAGGACGGGGAGAAGAAGAGAGGGGAGCAGAAGACACACTGAGGTTCTTGCACTGTCAGAGAATTTTTAAAAAGTTCAAAATACAAAGTTTCTGCTGGCAAATGCAAATAGGGTTTACAGATTTCAAAGCAGCTGGGGGAAAATTGAAATGAAGAATTGACAGCACCAACAGAAAGCGGAAAAGAGAATGATAAATGTTAAGGAGCCAAATGTGAGATGACAGGAATGAACTCAGAGGAATGGTCAGAGGTGACTGATTTAAACTCATCTATTAAAAGACAGACTCTCAAATTGGAATATAAATATTTAAATACTACCTATAAGAAATACACCTAAAAATGTCTCAAACTGAAAATAAAAGGATGGTAACTATGTACCTTACAACTATTGAACAATAGGTCTAAAGACCTAAAGAAAGTGAAGAACAAAAACTGAAAACCTGTGTACCTTGCAAATGATTAGTATTCAGAACAGAGAACCCTTCCAAGTCCGTTAGAAAAAAACAAGCCCATAGAATGATTAGCAAAACCTGTAATGAGGCTTCTTGCAGAGAAGAACATAGAAAAGGCCAGCCACGTCACTAGTAGTTTTGGAAATGCAAAGTGACACCAGACCAAATGAGCACAAACAATCAAGTCTGACAACATCCAGGGATGGCAAGGTGGGTTAACTGAAACACACACACCCTGCTGGTTGGGATGACAGGCCACTTGTCTTCATAAATGACACGGCATTACCCAGTGAAGTGGGACGTGTATCAGTTATCTATTGCTGCATAACAAACCAGCTCCAAAACTTAGCTGCTCAGCAGCAATCATTCCTTTGCTCACAGACCTGCTATTGGGGCGGGTTTCAGCAGGCACAGCTGGCTACTCAATGCTGTGCCTGCTGGAGCATCTCCGCCGGGGGCATGGAAGATGGTGCACTCGTGGCTGGTAGGCTGGTTCAGGCTGTGGCCTGAGGGCCTTGGAAAGTCCTTGTGGATGGTGGCCGGGTTTCAAGAGCAGGAGTCCTAAGAGAACCAGGTGGTACCTGTATCACTTTTCATTACTGTAGCCTCAGAAGTCCCATAGCATCACTTCTGCCCAGGCGGGTCCAGATTCAAGAACTCCTACTTCCAGTGAAGGAAAGTGTCAAAGTCACATGTTAAGAGGAGCATGTGTTATGGGAGAAGTGTGGCCCTTTGGAAAATGCAAGCTGCCACAATGTGCACACCCATCCTCAGCTCTGGTGTAAGCTGGTATCTGTTCCTGCTTGCACTCCACAGCCAGATGCATGCCAGAGAAACCTGTGCCTGCTCATCAGGAGTCCGGTACATCAGCGTTCAAAGCAGCACTGGTTTTAATTGCAAAAATACCTGAGAAAAAAACTTAGATGTCCATGGGCAACAAAATGAATAAAGTGGTGTGTGTCCCTGCAATGGAATGGCACACAGCAACTGAAGTGATTCATTTCAATGGAGCCACACAAGTGTAATGTAAAGTATGATTCCATTTACACTCAGCAGAGAGCTAAGAAATATGTGTGTACACACACACACTTATATCTTTTTTGACATCTATTAGCAAACCTTGAGGTCATACTGATAGTTCCAATTCCAATTCAACAGATTTCATTCCATTCTTGCCCCTTCTGACCCTTCCAATAGTGAGAAACCGCCTTGTGCTCGCCTGCTGGCTCCATCTCCACTGTGTTGGGGCTCTACCAGCCAGAGAGGGCGCCAGACACATCAAGTACCGCCCGCCCCCGAGGGATGCCGAGCCAGAAGCTCAGTTCCCGGGCCTCACTGCCCCTCCCACCCCGCCCCATTAGATCTGCCGCTGAAAAAAGCCAATTGTGTTTCTGCATGCTAGTGATGAACACAAGGACACTGAAATTAAAAAGACAACACCATCACGACGGTTCAAAATAAAATGAAATACTACATGCAAATTAACAAAATGTGTGTAGAACTTGCATGCTGAAAATGATAACATGCTTAGGAAAGAAAGATCTAAACAATTGTAGAAACATAACTATTTCCATGGTTAGAAGGCTCAAAAAGTAAAAATGCCACTTCTCTCCATATGGACATACAATTTTAACTATTTCTCTCAAAATCTCATCAAAGTATTTTGTAGATACAAGATTATTCTATAATGTATACGGAATGGCAAAGGAACTATAATAGCTAAAACAATTTTGAAAAGGAGTATAAAGTGGGAGGAATTAGTCTACCCAATTTGAAGATACTGTAGCTATGGTCGTTAGGACTGTGTAGTATTGGCAGAGGGACAGATGCACAGATCACTGGAACAAAACAGAGAACCCAGAAAAAGACCCACACAAATATGCCCAACTGATTTCTGACAAGCATGCAAAAAAATTCACTGGAGGAAGGATGATAGCCTTTTCCACAAATTGTACTGGAGCCATTACATCTCCACAGGCCAGAGGGATGGGGACAGTGGGGGAGGGAGAATGGAGAAGGGAGGGGAGGGGGACAGAGGAGAAGAATCTCAATATAAGGGGTTCACATCTTACACAAAACTTAACCAGAAATGAATCATGGACTAAAAACCATAAAACTCTTAGAAAAAAAGCCTAGTAGAAAATCTTTGGGATCTAGGGCTAGGCAAAAAATTCTTAACTTGACATCAAGAGTATACTCCATTAAAGAAAATATTGATAAACTAGACCTCATCAAAGTTAAAACCTGCTTTGCAAAAGAGCCTATGAAGAGGAAGAAGGGACAAGCCACAGACTGGAAGAAAATATTTGCAAACAACCAATCTGACAAAGGACTGGAATATGGAATATATAAAAACTTTCAAGACTCAACACTTACAAAAAACAAGTAATCCACTTTAAAAATTGGCAAAAGATATGAAGAGACATTCAACAAAGACCAAACACAGATGCACAAATCACCTTATGCAAAGATGCTCAACAGGAGCCACTAGGGAAATGGAGACAAAAGCACAATGAGATGTCACACATATTATACTGGTGAAAATAAAAAGTTGTGGCCACAGCAAATGCTGGTGAGGATGTGGAGAAACTGGACCTCTCATGCACTGCTAGTGGGGGTGTAAAATGTTACAGCCACTCTGGGAAACACCTTGGCAGTTTCTCCAAAATCTAAACATGCAACTACCATGTGACCCAGCAGTTGTGCCCCTAAGCATTAATCTCAGAGAAATGAAGATTTTTGTTCACACCAAAAGCTGTACACAATGTTTGTAGCATCTTTATTGGTAAGAGACCAAATCTAGGATCAACCTAGACAGATGTTCTTCAACTCATTAGTTCTAGGAATTTTATTCATAGATTCTTTGGAATATTCTGTTAATTAGTTGAACCCATGGTCCATGAGCATCTTGGACACCACTCAGCGATACAAAGGGACAAACTGCTGACACTGACGACTTGGATGGATCTCCAGGGAATTACGTTGAGCAAAAATGCCAATCCCAAAAGGTTGCTTAATATGGGATTCCATGTATGGAATGCTAAAATTTTTTAAATTTTAGAATAGAAGACAGATTAGTAGTTGCCAGGGATCAGTGTCAGGGTCGGGGCAGAAGGGGGATGGGCGTAGTCACCAAAGGGCAACATGCCAGTCCTCCTCGGAACTCTTCAGTGTCTTGACTGTGGCTTCAAGAACCAATTGGGGCAATAAAACTGCACGGAATTTAATACACTCAAGTACAAGTAAAACCAAAGAAATTGGAATAAGATCAGTGGGTTGTATCAGTGCCAATATCCTAGTTGAAATGTATCGT